CTTATGTGAGGTCATTCAGTTTTTGCATACAATATCCAGTGACATTTTTGAGCAGATTTTCCTACACGGTTGGGTCAGATTTCCTCTCGTTCATTCAGTCATTTGAGTAACTCTTTATTATTACTCTGTCTACATTTCCAAAGCTCAAAATGCTTTGTTCCACCTTGTGATCCATGATGTTAACATCTTTTTTTTACCATTTGTTGAGTAGAAATGGGCAATTCCAGGGCTGAAATAATCCAAATGATTCTAGTGAAGGTGTGTGGAGCACTTCCATGACATCACAAGGTGGAACAGAGTGTTTTCTGTTTGAGAGAAGAACTCAGCCTAAATGTGCAGAGTTTGTGTTAAACATGTGAATGAAACAAAACACAACTCCAAGTGTGTTTGTGATGAGGAAACATTAGAACACAGAACAGAAAACAGCCTAATATGAACACTTTAAAATAAACTAGTTGGACTTATGCATCTTGGTCACTCCAGATGTGACACGTTTATTCAATTTAAAGTGTTTTATTGCTAAAATATCACATTGAAAAACATACATTTTTACTATAAGTCACCTGCTCATCTCCATGGAGATATAATAGTTTAATATTATATCGAGAAATATTCCAGACAAGAAAATAAAAACATAGAAAAGTGACATATAGTCTGCCTTTAAAGGGTTTTTTGGCTTTAAGAACTCAGCCTAAATGTGCAGGGTTTGTGTGTTAAACATGTGAATGACACAAAACACAACTCCAGGTCTGTTTGTGATGCGGAAACATTAGAACATAGATCAGAAAATAGTGTAATATGTCTGCTTTAAAAGAGGGATTGGGGACAGTTGGCAGCTCGTGAGTGGGGTTTTTTGTGTTGATGTAGTTTGGCCTTTTCGGGGTCTTTATGTATTCTACTTGTTGGATGAAGCACAATTATTCTTTATTGGAGAAGAATGGACAACAGAGACATTTAACCAACTTAAAGTGGGGAAGGTCCGATGTAGATTTTTTCAGCCGATATTGCTGTCTGATATTTGTCTTGCTGTTGTAGCTGATACCGATATTAAGCTTTGATAATAATATTCACAAATTACCTGCTTGTTTCTCTGGATGTGCCATTGCTCTGTTTGGAATGTCCCACAGTGTGACTTAAAATAGCTCTATTTTATATTTATTACATTTTATTAGTGATGGGCAAACGAGACGGAACTCTGGAGCACGCCTCGTTCTTTCTGAAACAAATTGCTCCGAAGCACTGCCTCGGAGCTTCGCTCTGCGTGTCAGTCGCTTCAGTGTATCGAAGCGCTTCATTGGCTCAGCGAAGGTTCCGCTCTGTGATTGGTTCAGAGTGCTTCAGAGTGTTCAGAGCACTTCCGTGGTTTGACAAGCGCTAAACTGCTACAGTATAAAAGCACCAATATTTGTTAAAAATGTTAGTGGTGATTTTGGTGACTTTTGGCGACTTTTGGCATTTGTTTCATTTTCGATGGCATCTACAAGTGGAAAAAAGCGATCCATGGTTTGGGATCACTCTGATCTAATTCCACCAAACAAGGTACCACCTATTTTCTTATTTACAGCTGCTATTTATGTTGCTCTTTACATATTATTTTAAATCATCATTATTATTGTTGTTGTTAGGTACAGTGTTTGCTCTGCACACAAGTATTGTCTTACACTAACAATACTTCGATGCTGAGACACCTGTGTGCCAATGGTTAAATTTGTCCACTAGAGGTCAGTGTTTCTCCAAGGCCTCAGACACGTCCAACCATTTGAGACAATATTGCGACTGAGGTGTCAATGCTTCACGAGGCTCCATTCGCCCATCACTACATTTTATAGTTTTATAACTCAAAAATACACAGATCTGACCTGTAACTTGGTCTGATTTGGTCTACATGATGATAGAAGTAAGTCTTTAAGTCTTTATTTATATAGCGCTTTTCACAGACATTTTTTTGTCCCTAAAGATGCTTTAAAGAGCATTATTCAGCATTATTCATTCACTCTATACCTGGTGACTACTATTGTAGCCACAGCTGCCCTGGGGCAGACTGACAGAAGCACGGCTGCCATGCCAATCGGCGCCATCGGTCCCTCCGACCACCACCATCACTCACACACCACTTTCATACTAGGCAATGTGATGTGTGGTCAAGTGTCTTGCCTAAGGACACAATGATTGAATTGATTGTATTTAACTGACCTTGACTATCAACTGTTCTGGAGACCTGTACCATGTTTTGGGTTGATGGGGGAAACTGGAGCACCTGGAGGAAACCCATCCAGACACGGGGAGAAACATGCAAACTCCACACAGAAAGGCCCGGGCGACTCGGGGATTGAACCCAGAACCTTCTTGCTGTGAGGCATGAGTGCTAGCCACAATATGACATAAACAAGGCCCGACATTTGGTCTTGCACATTCACATTTAATTTTGTTGTGATATAGAAGCTGATTTTCTAACTCAATACAACACAGTGCGTGATGCGGCCGACTAAAGGCCGGTGAGAATATCCCCCCTCTCCCGGGCTTTGAATGGGACGTTGGAGCTGGGACTTTCAAGCCGGGGGGGACGCTCGAGCCAGTATTCGCTGTGGGTGACGTCACACTCCAGGCCACTTGATTATACAGTCTATGGATTTCAGATGATCTTAAAACTTTTCCGTCTGTGTTCCGTCTAATGTATGCATTGTATCACCATGGTAACTGCCGAACATCTCACCTATAGAAATGCATGTTGAGCCCCCCCAGAGTGACGATACTGTTGAGTATCAGTACGCACATGAGAATGCATCATAACTTTATGTGACATAGTAAATTGTATTGTACTGCACGTTTTGGCCCAGGGTTTTATCAAGTTTGTCTAGTCATTTGTCATTTGTCTTCTACAAAAAACAACTGCCCAAATCTGTTTCTCACAACACTCACGGGCTTATCTTCTCTCCTGTACACATCATTATCTGTAGTGGCACCACAGTTTGCCCGAAAGGATTACATCAACCTCAAACTGTCCACAATCTACTATTATATCGAAAGGGCCACAATCAGAGAGCTGTTCTTCAAACGTCAATAATCCGAGGAATGAGTCAATACCGGTGTGGTGGACTCCTGTTTAAGTCTCTTTTTTTAATCTCTTCTGCCATTATAGACTAGCCTGATTCATCAGCCGGTTTCACTTTGTCCAAACCGTCTGAGCATTAGGATTTTTTCGCTCGTCAGTAGGTGGGTACTTTTTATCATTTAACCAGTCGCTGCTATTTGGTTGTGACGTATGTAATGCACTGCTAACGAGGTTAACTGGTATATTAAGCTTTTTACAAATCCTGTAAGAAGAAGGACAATAACGTCTTTCCCCTTGATAAAATTCACCAAACATTCTCTTTGTTCCGGCTTTAAATCCTCGATCTCGGGAATCGTTGCCAACACAGAATATATGGCTCTTTGCTGATTGGCTGGTGCCCAGACTTGCACTTCTGGCATTTTTGCAATTTCATTTGAGAGAAATTAAATTGAGTGGAGAGTGTAGGTGGTGCCAGCCTGGCTAACTTTAGACAGGCTGTTGTTTTTAAAGATTTTAAACGGAAAGTTTAGTATCAGTAAAAGTGCATTGGGTAACTTTTTTGGTCTCCTTGAAGATTTTATTGTCTGTTATTTACCTGGAATGTTTCACAGTATGGTATTAACCTTTCCTAAATCTTTCTTCATGGAGACCAAATCAAGTTACAGGTCAGATCTGTGGAGAGGCAGCTCCACTCACAGTTATAATTCCTGCTTTTGTAGGTGATTTTGAGTTATAAAACCACCTGTAATTGAATAAATGTAAAATAGAGCTGTTTAATGTCATACTACGGAACATTCCAGGCAAGGGAATGACATGGAAACAATCCAAAAGAGTATGGGGACCCTTACATTTTGGCTAAGTTAAATAAACAAATTAGAAATCTAGTGTAATGTAAGATCATTTGCTGTAACTACTGAGCCAGACATTCATTCATAATAATTTAACCTACTTTACATGAGGGGGTCAAACATGAGCGTCTCTGTGCATTTGAAAGGTGCACTGCTCCCTCTTGTGGTTCAAAAGAGGAATAACCAGTCCACTGCATAAATGTAATATGTTTAACTTTAAAAGAAGGATGTTTGATTGTCATTTAAATACAGTCAGTGATTTACTTATTAGAGCAACTGGCACAACATGAGCTAGTTTGAATTTCCTTTGGGATCAATAAAGTATATATGATCTTTCTTATGCTATACCAGTTAAAACCGCATGCTTACAAATGATTTTTTTGTTTTGTGAACATTCGGCCACAAAGTTATACAGATATTTACTGTAGTGTTCTGTGTTAGTCTGGTTAGGACTTGGTTTAATCCATTTCTTAGTATTTAGTTTTCTCCTGTTTAGGTTGGACTTCTGTGTTAGTTTTGGTCAAGTCCTGGTTTACTGTGGTTCATAATTTTTGTTCTGGTTTATCCTGACATTATTTTACACTCTATCTGGACCTTTGCAAAAGAAAAAAAAGAAAGAGAAAAAAAAAAAAAAGTTGCTTAAATGCTTAAATTACATTGTATATTTAAAGTATTTATCAATTTATCAAAATGATTTAAAGGTTCACTCTGTAACTTTGTGGTTGTGGGGTCCTTCATCTCCTTGTTTTTATGTTTTTTTTTAATCACTGCTTTACCTGGAATGTTCCACAGTGTGACATTAAACACCTCTACTTTACATGTACCAAATTAAAAGTAGTTATAGAGCTCAAAATACCCAGAAAAAGTGGCATTCTGACTGTGAGCAGCGTCGCCTCTCCACAGATCTGACCTGTAATTTAGTCTGGTTTGGTCTCCATGAAGATTGACAGGTTTAATGTCATACTGTGAAACATTCCAGACAAAGCATGAGAAAAGTTCAAACTCCAGTTTTTGTGAAAAGTGAGATGCTCATAATAACACACCAGGTACTTTCTGTCTGATCTGTATCCTCTTGTTCTTGTCTGTACTTTTTCCCGCAG